CCAATCAAATGTCTACACCAAGTTCAAATTTATATGATGACATCCCAGAAGCAGAAGGACCAGCAGGTTGCCTAAGGAGGGATGAAAATGCCCTAGTTAAAAAAAAAAAAAAGAGGTCACATGTGCTGATCGGTAGTGGGATTGCAACTATGAAAACCACTGCACTCCAGCCTAGGCAACACGGCAGGGAATGATCTTTATTTTAAAAAAAAAAAAAAAAAAAAAAAAAAGAGAGACACAACAAACGCACATTACACCCAAATTGCTGAAAACCAATGAAAGAGAAAAATCCTAAAAAGTAACCAGAGACCAGGTGTGGTGGCTCACACCTGAAACCCGCGCACTTTGGGAGGCCGAAGCAGAAGGATCACTTAAGGCCAGGAGTTCAAGACCAGCCTGGCTAACATAGTGAAACCTCATCTCTACCAAAAATACACAACAATAGTTGGAGCCAGGAGCAGAGGCTCATGCCTGTAATCCCGGGACTTTGGGAGGCCGAGGCAGGCAGATCATCTGAGGTCGGGAGTTTGAGACCAGCCTGACCAAAACAGAGAAACCCTGTCTCTACTAAAGATACAAAATTAGCCAGGCATGGTGGTGCATGCCTATAATCCCAGCTACTCGGGAGACTGAAGCAGAAGAATCTCTAGAACCCAGGAGGTGGAAGTTGTGGTGAGCCTAGATGGCACCACTGCACTCCAGCCTGGGCAACAAGAGTGAAACTCCATCTCATATAAAAGAAAAAAAAAAAACTTAGCTGAGCACAGTGGTGTGCCTGCAGTCCCAGCTACTCGGGAGGCTGAGGCACGAGAACTGCTTGAACCCAGGAGGCAGAAGTTGCAGTGAACCAAGATCGCACCACTGCAGTCCAGCCTGAACAACAGAGGAAGACTGCCTCAAAAAAAAGGAACCAGAGGAGGGAAAATGTGCTTTATAAATAAATGAACAAAAATTGAGGCTTCTAGACAGAAACCATACAAACCAGAATAAGATGATATGACATATCTTAAAATACTAAAACTGTCTGGCAGATAGAGCACTAAAAAATAAATAAATAAATAAATACTACTAAAACTTTCAACTTAGAATTCTATTTTCTAGGCCGGGCGCAGTGGCTCATGCCTGTAATCCCAGCACTTTGGGAGGCCGAGGTGGGTGGATCACCTGAGATCAGGAGTTCAAGACCAGCCTGGCCATCATGGTGAAACCCCACCTTGGGGGGGGGGGGGTGGAATTCTGTATCTAGTGAAAGTAGTCTTCAGAAATAAAGTTGAAATAAACTTTTTCAGGCAAATAAAAGCTGAGAGAAATCACTGCCAAAAAACCTACACTAAGAGAAATGAAGTTCTTCAGGCAGAAACAAAATAGTATCAGAAGAAAACTTAAATACACACAAAAGAATGGAAGATGACCGGGCGTGGTGGCTCACACCAATAATCTCAGCATTTTGGGAGGCCGAGGCAGGCCAGTCACCTGAGCTTGGGAGTTCAAGACCAGCCTAACCAAAATGGAGAAACCCCGTGTCTACTTAAAATATAAAATTAGCCAGGCGTGGTGGCACAAGTCTGTGATCCCAGCTATTCGAGAGGCTCAGGCAGGAAAATAGCCTAAACCATGGAGGTGGAGGTTGTGGTGAACTGAGATTGTGCCACTGCACTCCAGCCTGGGCAACAAGAGCAAAACTCTGTCTCAACCAAAAAAAAAAAAAAAAAAAAAAAAAGAAGAAGAAGGATGTCAGAAATGGCTATACTCAGGCAACCAGAGAAGGAAAAATAAAAAATAAAAAGCAGAAATCAGTGAAATAGAAAAACAGTAAAAATGACTGAATCCAAAGCTAGTTTTTCCAAGAATCTACTAAACTGACAAAACTCTACGCAGACTGATTAAATAAAAAATAAGAAAAAAGCACATTATCAATATGAGGAACAACATCACTATGTATCTCAAATACATTGAAACAATGAGAGAATATTGTAACAATTTGTGTCAATAAATCTGATACCTTAAACAACAAAATACACCCAAAACTGACTCAAGAAAAAACTGAGTATCTGAATTAATTAACTATTAAAGAAACTGAGTTCATATTTAAATTCTTCCCACAAAAAAAATTTGAGGTCCAAGAGTTTCACTGATAAATTCTATCAAATATCTATGGATAAAAACGTGTCAATGCTGGCCAGGCACAGTGGCTCACACCTGTAATCCCAGTGCTTTGGGAGGCTGAGGTGGGTGGATCACCTGAGGTCGGGAGTTCAAGACCAGCCTGGCCAACATAGCAAAATCCCGTCTCTACTAAAAATACAAAAAATTAGCCAGGCAAGGTGATGGATGTCTGTACTACTTGGGAGTCTGAGGCAGGAAAATTGCTTCAACCCAGGAGGAGGAGGTTGCAGTGAGCCGAGATCACACCACTGCCCACTTCAGCCTGGGCGACAGAGCGAGACTCTGTTGTCTCAAAAAAATAAACAAAGAAAAGGCTGGGCATGGTGGCTCACACATGTTAATCCCAGCACTTTGGGAGGCTAAGTTGGGTGGATCATCGAGGTCAAGAGTTCGAGACCAGCCTGGCCAATATGGTGAAATCCCATCTCTCAAAAAAAAGAAAAAGTACCAAATTCCTTAAGAGAACACAGGAGTAAAGAGCATTCTCCAAGTTAACATCATTCTTAACGCGGAAGGACTGAAACTCAACACTTACCATACCATATATAAAATTTTAATTCAAAACAGATAATTTACCTAAATGAAAAACCTAAAATTATAAAACTTAGAGAAGAAAACATAAGTGAAAATCTTGGTGACCTTGAATTTGGCAAAAACGTCTTAGATATGACACAAAAAGCACAAAATATGAACAACAAAAGTAATACATTGGGGCTGGGTACAGTGGCTGACACCAGTAAACCCAGCACTTTGGGAGGCCAAGGTGGGCGGATCACCTGAGGTTAGGAGTTCAAAATCAGCCTGGCCAGGAGGGCAAAGTCCATCTCTACTAAAGATACAAAAATCAGCTGGGCATGGTGGCAAGCACCTGTAATCCCAGCTACTCAGGAGGCTGAATGAAGCAGGAGAATTGCTTGAACTTGGGAGGCAGAGGTTGCAGTGAGCCCAGATGGCACCATTGCACTCCAGCCTGGGCAACAGAACAAGACTCCGTCTCAAAAAAAAAAAAAAAAAAAAAAAAATTGGATTTGAGAAAAATAAAAAAATGTATGCTCTCCAAAGGATACTGTTGAGAAAATAAGGCAAGGCAATCCTTATTTTAATAATCTAAATACAACAAATATATAGATACATGTTTTCTAAGTAATTTTACTTAAAATAATCAAAACCTGGAATAGGTGACTGGATAAACAAATTGTGGTATACTCATAACCAACAATAAAAAGGAAGGAACTGAGATGTGCCAGACATGGATAGATCACAGAAGTATTATGGGAAGCAAAAGAGGCCACAGACAAAAGAGTTCCCATGAAGCTCAAAACATATACAATGTATTACGAAAGAAAGCAGATCAGTGGTTTCCTAGGGGCTGAGGTTAATAGGAAGCCGCGGATAGAGTACCAAGGAGGATGGGGTGCCAAGGAATATTCTGGAGTGTTAGGAATGTTGTTCTTCTTCACTTTGGTGATGGTTCTCTAGGTTTATGAATTTGTCAAAGTTTGTTACAAGGTATACATATAATGAGTGCAATCTAATATAGATATAGATATAGATATAGATATAAACTAAACTGCAAAGCTGATTTTTTTTGTTTTTCAGACAGAGTTTCTTTTACTCTTGGCCCGGGCTGGAGTGCAATGGTAGGATCTCGGCTCACTTCAACTTCTGACTCTGGGTTCAAGTGATTCTCCTGCCACAGCCTCCCAAGTAGCTGGGATTAATGGTGGCTGCTACAATGCCTGGCTAATTTTTTTTTTTTTTTTTTTTTTTTTTGTATTTTTAGTAGAGACAGGGTTTCACCATGTTGGCCAGACTGGTCTTGAACTCCTGACCTCAAGTGATCCATGTGCCTCGGCCTTTCAAAGTGCTGGGATTATAGGCGTGAACCACCGCGCTCAGCCCGATGTTTTTAAAAAAGCAGTGGCAACAATAATCCAGAAAACTGGTAATCAGATAAATAACAGTGGGGTAGGGGGAACAACACAAGCAAAATTCAACACCCAATCATGACAGAAATTCTCAAACTAGGAACAGAAAGCAACCTCTTCCACCAAAAAAGGCATCAACAAAAACGTGCAACTAACATTACATGTAATGATGAAAGACTAAATGCTTACAGGAACGATGCAACAATGTCCACTCTAACTGTATTCATGACTATACTTCAAAGGAGTCCTCAGTAGGACCCCATAGTAAATACTCAACTACATTTTGATAAAAAATCTGCTTTATTAAGCTTCTGAGATGACTATTTCATCACATCCTTTCCTATTTTTCTTTAAATCTCTTACACTCATATCCTTGGTCTACTATGAGCTTGGTCTATTATTTCACCTCATATTTTATTTTTCACAAGGTAAATCAATCTCTTACAAACTCTTCCTATGATAAAATCTTCCTTCCTGCCTATCTACCATGCCCTCTTTCCTTCCTACCTACTATGCAAAGCTTCCTACCATCAATCCCTCAAGAAAAGAGAGGTCTTTATGCTGGCTATCACTCAAGAGAGGCCAAGTTATTTGGCCAGCTTAAAACTCAACCACAACTTGGGAGTATAAACATAGGTCTTACCCTTGAAATTCTAGACAATTGATAGTTTTCTATTTATCATCAATTCCTACAATCAAAAGCAAAGACAAGTTCATAAAGCCACAGTAAGAAAACAGGAATAATTAATTCCCCACCTTTGGTTCCTCATCTTTGTAAACAGTTCTTGCCACTTAAAAAAAAAAAAAAAGTACATGGGGTAGTTTCTGACCAACATGTTTATTAAATAGGAAAAGTAAAGAAAAACACAAAAAACATGTGCAATTTGCATAGCATTTGTTCCTTACCTGCTGGTGGCGGGTGCTGGGAAAGGTATACTGGACAGAGTGGGGAGGATAACGACTTTGTTCTGTGCTGAATGCTCCTTGGTTGGGAGGATAACCTGAACTTGACATTATCAGTAAAGAAGTCCTCACCAGACTGTGAGATCAACGCCAACAAACAATCATGTTTCTAGGAAACCACCTAAACATGATGGGAAAAAACAGAATTAATAAGAACTAAAACACCAAGTGTATTTCTAATAAACGATAACTATAGCTACATAAATAAAACCATAATTACCAGTAAAAGCTTCCTCTTAATTTACTTAATAAAAGTTACCAAGGTTTGAAAACATTAATGGGTCATTTCTTTTTAACACTTAAAATAGGTTATTATGTGACAAATAATATAATTAGCTATATAAAGTAAAAACAGTATATAAAAACTTAGCATAAGATCTGGCACAGTATCTGCTTAGTATCTTTCTATAAATGCCTGAGAAACAAATATAAAGATAAAAATACATAGTTCTAAATTTGAGAGTTCATAAGTCAATTGTGAAAAATAATTCAAGAGTAATTATAAGGTAAACACGTGTGCAGAGGAAGTATTGTCTTTATTAAATAATTCTGAAGCAAGTATGATAAAATACTAAGTTTTGTACATCACAGACGGCAGGTAGATGGACATTTGTTGTATTACTCCTTACATGCTTCTAAGGGCCTGAAATAGCAAAAAAAAAAAAAAAAAAAAAAGGTCAGGAGTGGTGGTTAACACCTATAATCCCAGCACTTTGGGAAGCCGAGGTGGGCAGATCACTTAAGGTCAGGAGTTTGAGACCAGCCTGGCCAACACGGTGAAACATCTTCTCTACTAAAAATATAAAAGTTAGCCAGGTGTGGTGGCATGTGCCTGTAATCCAAGCTACTCAGGAGGCTGAGGCAGGAGAATCACTTGAACCTGGGAGGCAGAGGTTGCAATGAGCTGAGATCATGCCACTGTACACCAGCCTGGGCAATAGAACACGACTCCATCTCAAAAAAAAAAAACAAAAAGAAAAAAGAAAAAGAAACTCCTTCTTCATTATAAAGTATACTCCTACTTATCCACAATTCTACACTCACTAATTTGATTTGCCTGTCTTTTCTTGTGCCAATGTCACACTTTTCAAGTTACTCTAGTATTCAGAGGTTTTTATATTCAGCAGGGCAAATTTCCCCTCACTATGCTTTGTTGTTGCTAACTTTCACCGCCTTCCCAGCTATTCTAGCACATTTCCTCTTTCACACAAGTATCAGAGTCAGCTTGTCAGGTTCCATGGAAATTCTAGATGAGAACACATAAATACTGAATTCACAGACTGATGGGAGAACAGGTACCTTTATACTCCTGAGTATTCCTATTCTAAAACATCATTATATATGTTTCTGTTTCAGGATAGCACAAATATTTATGTTATATATAATTAACACGGGAATGTTTTACATATACATGATAGAGATTACATATGCATAAAAAATATGCTATAATATATAATTTCTATCTTAATTACACATAAAATATGTAAAACTCCCATGACAAAAATTTAACATATATACACATACACACGTGCATGTGTATACACACACTCCTACTTTAAAACAGGAATTCTATTATTACCTAATTTGGTGGTTTTAAAAAAAGAGAATTTATATATAATTAAGATGAAAATTATATAACTATATATATATAACATAACATACATATATAAAATCTCCACCCATTTAATGTTTTGTTTCTTAGTAAAGTTTTACCATTATTTCCATCATTTCAAGAGATTTCGGAAGAGGGCAAATTCAAAAAATAATTCATTGTGACAACTTGATCAATTTCCCAGTTTTTACCAGTATATGCAATACAAAATATGCAATTCTTTATTCAGTTAGGTTGAGAAAATAAAATTGTCTAGGGAATTGTCATTCAATCTAACTTTAAAACAAAACTTATAGGCCAGCCACAGTGGCTCACTCTTGTAATCCCAGCACTTTGGGAGGTCAAGATCAGAGGATCTCCTAAGGCCAGGTGTTCAAGACCAATCTGGGCAATGAAGCCAGACCTGTCTCTACAAGAAAATAATAATAATAATTAGGTGCGGCAGTACACACCCATGGTTCCCAGCTACCCGGGAGGCTTAAACAGGAGGATCACTTGAGCCCAGGAGGTCAAGACTACAATGAGCTGTGACTGTGCCACTGCACTCCAGCCTGGGTGATTCAGTGAAACTCTGACTCAAAAAACAAAAGAAAAAAACTTATAGAAAGAACTTTAAAAAGCGTATGTGGTGGCCGGGTGTGGTGGCTCACACCTGTAATCCCAGCACTTTGGGAGGCCAAGGCGGGCAGACCACAAGGTCAGAAGTTCGAGACCAGCCTGATTAATGTGGTGAAACCCCATCTCTACCAAAAATATAAAAATTAGCCGGGCGTGGTGGCACACACCTGTAATCTCAGCTACTTAAGAGGCTTAGGCAAGAGAATCACTGGAACTAGGGAGGCAGAGGTTGCAATAAGCTGAGATTGTACCACTGCACTCCAGCCTGGGTGACAGAGCAAGACTCCATCTCAAAAAAAAAAAAAAAAAAAAAAAACCTGTATGTGGTACCATGTAATATATAAATACTTTAAACAAATATACCATCCTTCCCCCGATCTCACTTTTCCTGCTGTTGTGAAAGCTGGCCAGGAGAAGAATCAGAAGACTGATCAGCTGTCCCTCAGTCTGTCCCCTCCCCCTTCCAACGCCCAAGGCATGGAAGTCAGCAAATCTTAAGGACTGGGAGATTTTTGAGATTACCCAACTAACACTGATTTGACAGATGAGAAATCTGAAAAACCGAGAAATTCAATAATTCCTCCAATATCACAAAGTTGTCTGTGGCAAAAATAGGAAAAACTAACGCTTTCTGCAATGCTTTGCAGCTTTCTCAGCAAGCAGTGACCCACTTGGAGGAGTTGAGATGTGCAGTGAGACCACACATTAAAACCACCTGAGGAGCTGTCTTCTCATCTATACACCTGCCAGGTACAAGGGAAAAAGCTAACATGTGGCGTTGTGGGGAGGGTTGATCTTTTTGGAAATAAATATTATATGCAGGACTTAAGAGTTTTTTTTTTTTAAGACAGAGTTTCACTCTCGTTACCCAGGCTGGAGTGCAATGGCGCGATCTCGGCTCACCGCAACCTCCGCCACCTGGGTTCAGGCAATTCCCTGCCTCAGCCTCCTGAGTAGCTGGGATTACAGGCAAGTGCCACCATGCCCAGCTAATGTTTTGTATTTCTAGTAGAGATGGGGTTTCACCACGTTGACCAGGATGGTCTCGATCTCTTGACCTTGTGATCCACCCACCTCGGCCTCCCAAAGTGCTGGGATTACACGCTTGAGCCACTGCGCCCGGCCTTTTAAGAGTTCTTAAAAGTACCACAGAATACAAGTGAAAAATCTCCTCACCCTTCTCCTCTACCTGCTACCCAGTTACCCTCTCAAAAGGCAACCAAAGAAACCTATTTCTAGAGTGTCCTTTAGAAATATCCTACATATACTCACACTTTCTCCCTTATGTAAATGGTGGCATACTAGAAATACACTGTTTTGCATGTTGCTTTTATTAATACATCTTGGCAATTATCCTCATGAATTTATGGTTCTTTCTATTGCTATAGTGTTTTACTATATGAATGTCCATTCATTATTTTGTAAAAGTTTTCCAACTAATTCTGATCTGCAGTCCTAAAACACGCTTTAAGTGATCTGTCCCTGTGCTCTTCTCCCAACTCAGACATCCCAAATAAAGCTATAAATGGAATAGGGAGGCAAAAGGAAAGATATCAACCCAGGATCATCTAATTTTTTTCTAACAGTAGCCTAAATGATTAGAAATTCATGAGGTATAATTTCTTCCCCCCCTCCCCCCGAGACAGGGTTTCACTCTTGTTACCCAGGCTGGCTCACCGTAACCTCCACCTCCTGGGTTCAAGCAATTCTCCTGCCTCTGCCTCCTGAGTAGCTGGGACTACAGGCGTGCGCCACCATGTCCAGCTAATTCTTGTATTTTTAGTAGAGACGGGGTTTCATCATGTTGACGAGGATGATCTCGATCTCTTGACCTTGTGATCCACCCACCTCGGCCTCCCAAAGTGCTGGGATTATAGGCGTGAGCCACCTCGCCCAGCCAAGGTATAATTTCTTAATGCATATTGTTTAATTTTCAGCTACGATGAGTCCCGAGTTCAACAATTACACTCAATGTCACTCAAAGTCACAAGTTAAGTGACTTGTCCATTTTTTCCCTGTTAGTAATCCTTCCTGTTGTCCCAGTTTTATGGTGTGACTTTAGTGAAGTTAACTTTATTACCTCAAAAAAAAAAAAATCAGTTTTATTTAAAAGTACTATCAGCCCAACCCAGAAGAGTGAGGAAAAAGGCACTAGCCAAGTCAGGAAATTAGCCCCAACTGGCATACAAATTTACAGGTCAAAGCAAGCCCTTCCTGCCTTCACATGAACTATAGCCTGGAGACCACTGCAACCTCCTTCCTCAAAACCGGCCCATGAGATACACAGCAACAGTGGTCAGATCTTGTTTTTTAACCAGCACGCTTTCCTCAAAAGTCTTAAATAAAAGCCAAGTGTACAAAAGTTACAATAGAGAAACATTCTGATTTAGTGAGAATGGGAGACCTGGAATTCATCTTTTCAGTCTCCCCCTACCCTTCTCCTACCTTCCCTCCACCCCTTACTCCAGTCCTGGCTCACTAAGATACCTCTGAAGAATACATTTAAAACCCACGGAAATAAAAGAATCTAGTTTAAAGTTCAGACTGAAAGGGAAGGGGACACCTTAAGTGGCAATATCAAACTATAATTTCAGTTCTTAGCACCAAAACTCATTAACTCAGGATAGTCACATGGTTGACTCATGAAACTGCAAAAATGAATTGTTTAAGAAACCTGGTCAAGATTTTATAAGCAACTTCCTCATATCTTATACATCAACATATATAATGTTTTAGGATGGAAATAATATAATAAAAATTACATTTACTGTATTATAATTTAATCATTGTCATAAAGACAATAGCACATCTAACTGGATTAAACAGATAAACCCAGAACTAGTCTCTTATATCTTGCAAACAGACAATACAATATGGCAAAATGAAATTGA